GCTCCCAGAGGAGCGCGCGGCCGAGGTCGCGCGCACGCAGGAAGCGGCGGGGCAAGAAGAGGTCAAGTTGGAGAAGATGCGTCAGAATCTGTTGGCTATGTAAGGGCAGCGCAAAGAGTTGGCATCGAGATCGACGATTGCGGCACCTGAAGGCACTAGAGCTGTCCAGGCCCACATCCTGGGAACTGGTCTTACGGCCGACGCGCCCGAACAACTGCTCAAAGGCCATGGAGCTGACCACAACAATCTACCGAATATCAAGCAGGACGACGAGCTCACTGAGGTGTTGGGGCCACCCGCTGCGGCAAGAGGTGGCACCCCGGCGAAGGAGCACGGTGATGCACCTGGGTCCAGGTCTGGCGGGGCCTCTGAGGCCGCGGCGCCTGCCGCACCACCAGCGGCGATTTCGTTGCAGGCAGCTGATTTGGCTGTGCTTCGTGGGCACATTGAAAAGGTTGGCATCGACGTCGGGAGCTTGGATGCTGGGCTTTCTCCTGGTGGCTCTTTGGTGTTTTGCATGGGTGATAATGGCTATGGTGATGCAGCAGCTAGTATCAGAACGGGGAACTTCGCTTGGGGCAGCGACAGATGGGACATCTTTTGAACATGGGAGATGGAACGTCGTCGGCTGGGGGCACCCCTCGGGCAGAATGTCCCATGGAAGGAGGCTTCCCCAAAATCATTTTGCCGCCAGGTGGCCAGGAGTCAGACCCTTCGCAGCGTCAAGCACCAGGCCAGAGGCAGCGGCCGCCCAGTCCTCGACCCAAGGAAAACGGGCGGCGCGGCCAAGAGGGTGTCTTGGGGGATCGGTGTGCTATAGAATGCATGATGAGTCTGGGATCCTGCCACACCGGGGCCCAGTGCGCTTGCACTTGGGCCAGGACAGTGTGATGGCGAAGCAGCGCAGGTGCAATCAGCCCTCTACTTTTCCAGCGGAGGAGCAGTTCGCCATGGACATCGAGAGCTACGCGGAGCAGTGAATATGGGATTCACAAGGGGAACAGCTTCAGGATCTTGAAGTATGGCGCGAATGGAACGAGGCGTGCCTTGACGCTTGCCTCGCACATCCTGGGCGTGAAGACCTGATCCGACATCTGGAGGAGTGGTACAACATACCGCACGGGCCCGAGTTGAGAGCTCAGCTCTGCGCAGACGCCCGGCAGGAGGCGCATCAAGATCGGCAACGTGTGCACCGATTCCTTCGGCAGTGCATCGGGGGGGAATCGAAAGCTATGGCAGCTCGACATTGGTGGCACTTAGACAACGTCGTCAACATGATGACTGACATGCTACGTGAGCGGGCCCCAGACGCTCGCCGTCGACGCACGTCCTGGCATGGGCTGGGCGCTGCGCGGCCGCGGCAGTTAGATGCGGAGGTTCGGCGTTGCCCCGCGCTAGCTGCTATGCCAGGGGGTCGCATTTGAGACGAGCACGGGCTGCGACAGGTCAGCGCTGGCTGAGCCTCCAGAGCAGGAGCGTGAGGGGCCAGAGGTGAAACGGTTACATAGGCACGGTCAACTGTGCGGCGTCTTCCTCCCTGCCGGAGTATATTGCGCTCCAACCTGATTCTCTAATCACGGCGGCTCAAGAACGCCATTGTTTGGAAAGCCAGGTGGCTACAGCAGAGAAGCAGGTGGCAGGCGTGGGGTATCATGGGATTTAGTGCGCTGCGGAAGCATCAGACAATGGAAGGTCGCATGGGGGCGCTGCCTTGCCGGTTCGCTCCAATGTTATGATAGCTGTGGCGCCTTTTCGCTCGCAAGTCAAAGTCGATGACGCTCGAGTGGTCGCTGGGCATGTGCACTGGGGTGTTCCAAAAGGCATCGTGATGTTCAACGTCTATACGCACGCGTCAGAAGGATGGTCAGACAGCAAACTGGAGATTCTGAATGCGGTGCTCAGGCATTGTGCGACGCTCAATTGTCTCGGCATGGATTGGATGGTGGTGGGAGATTGGAACATCGAGCCCGCAGAATAGCAGCAAGAGCGGCTCATGTCGGTCGACGGGTATATAAACTACACTGGGCGGACCACTTGCGACAAGAGTGAGCTGGGGCGACGGATTGATTATACGATGGTCAATGATAATCTCATCCGCCAAGGAGACGTCGCTGTTGATTCGGCCATCGGACCGCATTGCCCGACAAAGTTCGAGCTACTTGCTGACGACGCACAGGCTTGGACTCGTCAGCTGTTGGAACCTCGCGGCTGTGGCGCCGAAGCAGAGGCTGCGCGCGCTTCCCTGCATCGAGATCTCGGGCAGCAGCAGCGCAGGTGGTGACAAAAGCGCATGATCAGCGTAGTCTTACGGCGGCTTGGGATGCTGCGCTGGGGGAAGGAGCTCGACTTGGCCGACCGTTGGGACCTGATGGATGAAGAGAGACATAAACATGCGGGGCGAGCTGCCCCTGTTTCTCTGCAGTGAAGAAGCTGGAGTGGACGCCGCCACGCAAGCGCACAAACATCACGAAGGCTGCACACGCATGGAAAGTTCCAGGGAGATGGCGCGAGCACTTGCAAGCGGTGCACGCTAACCTTGGTAAGTATTGCGGCCTGCGTAACTCTGCTGCAAAGGCACGCCCTATCTCTGATGGGCAACGCGGGCATCTCCTTGAGCTGGTCAATGGAACTACGCGGTTTCTAATCAAGGCGGTCGATCGCAAAGTGGTGCTGAAGCATCTTGATCAGGAGACGACTCAATTCTTTCAAGACGGTTTATGGTTGTCTACGCGGTCGGGTTTTCAGCGGGCCACGGACGGCGTCGTCAAACGCGGGATGAGTGAAGGTGAAAAAGCGATTCGTGGAAGGATGAAAGACTGGCGGCTTTGGGCCGAAGAGTTTCCTGTGAGGAGCTGGAGCTGCACACGAGCGTGCAAAGGTCCCTGTCAAAGCTGGTGCGGTCAAGGCGATGTCCCAGTCAGAACCGCGCAATATGGTGGATCGTGAGTTCGCGAAGTGGAAGCAGGTTTAGGATCTTCATGAATACACCGAGCTACAGTTGCCAAGTAGTTTTGATGGATGGGACTCGTTGCCCGCCATGACCGTCGACTTTCTGAGGCAGGTGGCCCTTGGGTTTACGAGCCGAACGGCCAAAGGGCAGACGGGTACTGCGCCGAAGACCTTTTGGCAGGTCAGCGAGGTTGGGTTGGAGGTGCTTAGTTTTTTGCATTCCAAATGTGAGTAGCTGGGGAGGTGGCCCGATAATAGAATTCTCAATGCGTTGGTCCGGCTGCCCAAACCAGACGGGGGCAGCAGACCCTTTGGTTTAGTCAATTCTGTTTTTCGGATATGGTCCAGAGCGCGCAGTGTGATATCAAGGCAATGGCTGAAAGATACCGATCTTCCATGTCTTGGGGGGGCAGGTGACGCTGGGTGATCGTCGAGTGCGTCGGCTTTGTCATCGCGATCAGTCGGCCAAATTTGCAGCCTCGTCCTCCTCCTCGGAACAAGGCCCGAGCGACGATCGAAAACGGCTCTGATGCGAGATAACGTGGCGACCTTAAACGGTGGCTCACGCGGCCGCCAGCGCGGCACGCCACACTGGAAACGAGGGCGCTCTCGCGCGACTTTACGCGGGAACCGTACGTGCGAACGTCGGCGAAGACGATCCCGTATTTTTGCGTCGCTCACATGGTCTCCCGAAGAGCCCTCACGAAGACCGGGCCGGACCGGGGCCCTACGAGGGCCCCCAGAGGCCGGAAACGGCTAAAAACCTCCCGTCGTGATTTTCGCACGACGCCCACACGTCAGGGCAGGTAGTCTCTCTTCAGAGGCCTACCAGATAGGGGTCGATGGGGTCGGAGGATCACGTCGCAACGCCGATGCATCGGCAATGTCGGCGGTGCATCGGCGACGTCGACATGGAGAGAATCGGATTCCACATCGCGCCGCATCAGCGATGCATCGGCGATGCGGCGCGATCCTCCGACCTTATCTTCTCGGACCCTGTCTGGGAGGCCTAGGGGGAGGAGGAGGAGGAGGAGGAGGAGGAGGAGGAGGAGGAGGAGGAGGAGGAGGAGGAGGAGGAGGATGAGGAGGAGGAGGACGTGGAGGAGGAGGTGGTGGAGGAGGAGACCTACACGTCCCAGCGCGCCGAGAAAGGAGACTGGTCAGACAGCAGAAGTGGGCAGAGGCGAGGAGGAGGCGGAGGAGGATCTCCATGAGCGCCAACCAGAAGCCTCGGCAGATCGCCTGCGCACGAGCTTCCTCTTCCCCCCTCCCGCGGCGCCGGGGCAGCTGCGGGAGCCCGTCCTCGGGCCCCTCCGCGCGGTCTTCGAGGGCCTCGCGCCAAGAGAGGGGGGGGAGTCTGGGGTTCGAGAGCCGGTGGGGCACGAACGGAGGGCTTGGCAACGGGTATCGCCGCCGCCCCTCATCAGAGGAGGCATCCTCTACGGTCTGACGCCTGCTGGGCACATTCCTTCACGAACGCCCTCACCGTGAGACACACACAAACACAAACACAAACACTTACACTTACACTTACACACACACCTTTACTTACACTTACACTTTTTTTGTGGAACCAGGCGAGCGCCGGACACTTTCCGACAACTCACAGGACCGGGCACTTTCGTCGTAAAGTGTCCGGCCTTGGTGGGCGACCCAAAGCGGCCGTCGGCTACGTGGCAAGGCTGATACGAAAGTGGCTCCAAATCGTACCATCAAGTGCCGCGCATGTGTGAAACCCGGATGCCGCTACACAGGCGAGCCATCATGAAAACCCGGATGCCGCCGCACACTCGTGCCTGAAGCGAGGGGCCTTGCCCTAGCTTCTCTAAGTTCCCGCCGTAACGGTCTGGACGGTCGCGCGGGGGGGGAAGAAGAGGACGAGGGAGGAGAGGAGGAGGAAGGAGAGGACAGGAGGAGGAGGAGGAGGAGGAGGAGGAAAAACGCCAGATTCGGGCGGGCTGTGGCGGCAACTGCGGATTGCCCTACAGTGTCTGCGCCGAGCACGCGCCTGTCACGGTTTCCGCCGGCCGGTCGTTCAAACCAGGCGGGAAAAGAGCTACAGTTTGTTGCAACAATCGACAAACGAATGTAAAACAGTGGACCAGAACCTGCACTGAGGCGGAGGCGGGGGGGAGGAGGAGGAGGCAAGGGGAACGGCGGAGAGGTCGCTACATGAGATATCTAGCTGTCCGGCGGAGAGGTAGCTATTAGAAACACAGACACAGACAGACATACACACAGAAAGGCAAACAGACAGAAAGGCAAACAGACACGACACGACACGGCACGACACACACACTTTCTCACACACGCGAACACACGCACGCACACGCACACGCACACGCACACGCACACGCACACGCACACGCACACGCACACGCACACGCACACGCACACACACATGCACAGATGCACACACGCACACACGCACACAGCACACACACACACGCGCGCGCACACACGCACACGCACACGCACACGCACAATCGCATACACACACGCACGCACGCACGCATACACACACACGCACACACGCGCACGATTGTTTGTGGAACGTTTGCCCTCTGAGGACCGTCGCTGCGCCCCGGGACTGTCACACAAAACGACTTGGGATGAGAACGAGGTCCGGGGGAACGGGTCGAGACCTCTGGGGGCCGAACAACACATGACGTCATCCGAGTCTGGAGACACAAAGTGTCGGCCGATCGCACTCGACTGCCCTGAGATCTGGGCGTCGCGAATCTCCCACACCGGGCGTTCTCGCCAGGCGCCGGGCCCCGATGACCCTCACGGATCGGCCCGACTCGAGAGATGCCGCAGGATGAAGCCTCCTGGATGGGGTCCGAATAAATGGGGTCGGAGGATCTCGCCGCATCGCCGATATATCGGCGATGCACTGGCGAGAGTCGGCGATGCATCGGCGACGTCGGCGTGGAGAAAAGTGGGCCCCACATCGAACCGCGTCGGCAATGCATCGCCGATGCATCGGCGATGCGGCACGATCCTCCGATTCCATCGACTCCGACCCCATCTAGGAGGCCTAGATCCATTTGCATTGTCTTTTCGGCATCAGTGCCACAGCGTCGACGGGAGGCAAAGCATTTCTAGATATAACCGTGTCTTTGCTCGAACTCGCCGAGCAAGCAAGGATGCAGCCAAGGTGGCAGAGTCTTGGCCGAGCATGAAGCCATCGTCACCAAAGCGCGCGTGTTGCCCATTCCCAATTTGTGACGTGTCGCGAGGTCACAGCTTTTTCGCCGCGCCCGATCGCGAAGACTTGGGGGAGGTGACTCGGGCGAGTCCTGCCACGATGGAAGCTCGAACGTCGCACTCTGGAGAGGACGACGGGGGAACGAGGTCCTCGAGGCCTCTGGGGGCTCCCAACAGGTGGCGACGCCTGAGGCGCCGCCAGGGGGGGCCCAACGCTGCACTAAGGCAAGAAGGGGTCTTCCGGGCCACGGTGAGCCCCTCGCGAGCCAAGAGCAGGTCTTGTGTTTCCGCGTTCCGGCTGCCGGCGGATATCCGAGGGCACGAGGATGAGCGAGACATTTTTTATGTTTTTTTTTACGACGACATGGGAGCTGTTACGGAGGAAACTAGTTCCACAGGTGGGGTGTCCACGTGTGGCGGGTGCGACCGCATCAACAGCACCTAAGGCCCTGAATGGTACCGCCGTACCCGCTAAAAGACTGGATGCATTCCTTGCTCGTCACTGCAGTGTCGAGCTGCCTCTTGCCTGCTATGCATGGCCTGACGCTGCAACGGTGCAGCTCGCTATATGCGGGCTGGCGTGCGCTGTGCGTTGGAAAACCCTGAAGGGCGGCTCTGGGATGGCCTCACGTTGGCCAAAGCTGAAGACTTACAGACAAACAAAAATCCTGCTGTGGCGGGGAACGAAAGAGGGGGGAGGGGAGTGCTCCTCATCACCTACTCCTCGGGGAAAGCAGGAAAGAGGGGGAGTGAATAGGAGTCTAGCTACGGCTCTGGACGAGGGGGCCTTAGTGGGGACCTCTTGGGGCACATCATGAGAATAAAAATTCAGCAGCCTCCTCATCAGTGGCCAGATCATGGGTCTGAACCTCGGGATCTGCATTATCTGAGGGGAGGACACTAGTGTGATGTGCGGGGTCCGTCTCGGGAGCTACTGAGGGCCTCACTGCAGGGAGTATGCCGCCAGATACGAAACCCATCATCCTGTCATTCGTCGAAAGTGGTCCAGCCATGTCGATATCTCCCCCTCCAGCCAGCCCGCTGGGGCTGGGCCCAGGTGGTGCTTCGCGATCCCTTCTGAGCGTAGGCCAGCGAGGAGGAGGCTTCTGCCCTGCCAGTCCTTGGCGCCAAGGATGAGCTTGGCTGTGTTCGGGTCGTGAGTCTTGTCGATGCGCAGGAAGGCGACTTCGGTCTGGAGGGTCTCTACGTCGATCAGAGGCTCGAGCTGAGGATCCTCTGGCTGGCATTTCTCGAGGTATTCCTCGATCTCTTTGCGTACTCGACCTCCCACTTCGCATGTCAATAGCCCCTCCAGCATGGCGAGGGCGAGTGCGGGGGTCGGTGGGCCTTGCATTTTGAGCGCCTCGGTATCCTTGTTGGTGCGGTAGTTGTTGACCCGTGTCTTGAAACCCTCGAGCTCCGTCGAGATGTGGGAGACTGTCGGGTGGTTGATTGGTAGCGTCCATGTGTCGGCCACCGTGCACATGATCATCCGTATTTTTTGTGTGTTCTGGAGTGTGAGTGTCATCAGCGAGGTGAGCAGCATCTGCATGTTCTTGTCTTTGTTCGTCCACTGCTTGTCGGTGTGCTGCCCTCGGTGAGCTCGTCGTCCGCCTCTGCGCCGAGCACGGCGTGGCTCGTTCTGTTGCTCTTCCACGTCCATGTCGTCGTCCTCCTGGTCCGCTGCTGGTGTCGGTTGGCCCTTGTTGCCCTTGGTCCCCTCGACCTTGCGTCGGCGCTGGGGTGGTTCGTCGGCTGTGGAGTCGTTCCCAGAGGTGCCAGACTTGGTCGAGGACGGTGGCGGGCCTCTCCACGGGGCACGTGCTCCGCGTCGCGGTGTTGCTTTGGGCTGGGCTATGCTCGGCGCCGCTGCTTGTGGCGTGCTGCTGTCCGCTGCTGAAGCCATCAGGTGGAGCTGGTGTGGAGTTGCTGGCTGGTTCTGCTGGTCGTGGAGGTCGCGGTAGTTGGCGTGGACGTCAAGGCTGTAGTAGTCGCACTGCTGGTGTCGTGCGTAGGGGGTGGTCGTCGATGTTGCGGCCGTCGAGCTCGTGATGTAGTTGATGCTATGGCTGAGGCTCGAATATGTGTGCCCAGCTGAAGCGTCACTGCCTGTCGAATCTCTTGTCGGAGCAGAGCGGTGTCAGATGGTCGCCACAATGGGGCGGCGAGGAAACGCTTAGGCACTGTCGGTCCGTGTGGGCGCGCCTCCCTCGCCGAGCGAGGCAATGTCTTGAGCCAAGGGCCACGCGGCGACGGAGGGATGTGCGTGCGGAGGTGGGATCGGAGCTCGTCGATGTCGTAATAGTCTCGCTGGCAATCGATGTTGGGGCTAATGTGCTCGAGCGGGCATCGCGTGGCAGTGGTAGGCTGCCATGTGTGCGTGTGTAGGGTGCGATCGATGAAGCATCGCCCTTCGATCCAAGACCGTCGGTGATGGGTCTGGCACATTTTTTATGTTAGTCTTGAGTGGGTTCTTCGGGGGCAAATTCTGTTTCTCTGTTAAGGCCAAAAACTCGGATGAAGGTATGATTCACGTCTGCGCTGAAACTCTGATTCAAGTCTGGCCCTCAGCGCCGACTCTGACTCAGGTCTGTCTGGAACTCCCATGTAACTTTGGCCCTAAGACCCAAGTCTGATTTAGGTATGACTGGAACTCTGATGTAACTCTGGCTCTAAGACCCAAGTTTGATTTAGGTCTGATAGGGAACTCAAATTTAAGTACGATTATAATTTGGTTTGGGCGTGCCGAAACCAATGCCGCGGCGTCGGCCCAGCACTCTGCCGGGTCGGCCCTGTGCGCATGCGTCTTCAAAAACAACAGAAGGAATGCGCTAGCCGAGCGGCGGGTCATGGCTGGGGTCCCAGCCGCCAGCTGCCAAATACTGCGAGCTTGGCAAGCCTGCGCACGCCCAAGGGCGGCCGCGCGGGGGGAGGAGGGACGGGAGACGCCCAGATCTCAGGGACTCGTGTGCGCCGCCAACCGACGGCCGAAGATAGAGCAACGAACCGCAGAAGCACACACCTTCCGACGGTCCGCGCGGACTTCTTGGATTCGCACCCTCCTCCCTGGCGAGCGGAGCGCGCCAAGGGCGGCGCCGGAGGCGCCGCCAGGAGGGCCCAGCGCGGATCCGAGAAATCCGCCCGGACCGTTGACAGTATGTCTGTGCCGTTGCTTGCTCCTTCGAGAGGAGCCTCCGCCTGCTGTGTGTTCGACGAATTCCGAACCCTAGCCCCGCCGCCCACCGAGTTGCCTGAATCGTGGACCGGCGAGGGCGACAGCGACAACGACAGTGCTCGCGTGAATATCCACACGAGGGCCTTCGCGCCGCCGATCCTGCGCGCCGCCAATCGTGCGTCCACACGGCTAGGGCTTGGATTCCACCGTCGATCGTGCGCGCCGCCACGACGACGACGACGACAACGACGACGACGACGACGAATACGAATACGAATACGAATACGAATGCGAATGCGAATACGAATGCGAATGCGAATGCGAATGCGAAAACGAATACGAATACGACGACCACGACGACGACGACGACGAATACGAATACGAATACGAATGCGAATACGAATACGAATACGACGACGGCGACGACGACGACGACGACGACGACGACGGGAGCCTCGGCCTGCTCGGCCGCGCCGCCGGTCTCCCGCGCGTAGCTCGGCGCCGCGGCCCCCGCGAGCCCGGCCACGCGCACGGCCGCTGCGGGCGCCGCGCCGGCCTCCGCGGCGAGGCCGCGGCCGCTCGGAGGGCCGCCCGGAGGCCGCTCGGGGGCCCGCGGCCCTCGGAAGGCCGCTTGGAGGTCGTCGGGGGGCCGCCCGGAGGCCCTCGGGAGGCCCTCGGGGAGCCCTCGGGGGAGGGCCCTTGGGCGCCCTCGAGGCGCCCTCGGAGGCCGAGCAGCGGCGGCGGCGGCGGCCGCGCCGCGCGGGCCTCCGCGGCCGCCCGAGCCGGCGCGGCCGCCGGAGCGGTTGCAGCGGCGGCGGCGGGGCGGTGCGCGCGGGCCTCCAAGGCGGCGCCGCTGGCGGGCGCCCTGGCCTGGGCTGCCAAGGCTTGCCCGAGGCGATCGAGGGCCGGAGGCCGAAGATCTGATGCGGGCGCTGCAACATTTTGTCACTGGGCGTGTTGGCTCGGTTCCTCCGCCCGCGGCCGCTTCCCCCCCCCCCCTGCTTCCACCTCCTGCTGCTGGACGGGCAGCGATGCCGCATCCCGGCTTGCCCGAGCGCGTGGGCGCACTGCCTCTGCCGCGCCGCGGGGGGAAAACAGGTTGGGGAAACCACCTTGGGAAAACAAGATGGGGTGGAGGCGCACCTGCTTCTGCTCCAGCTTGCCGGGGGGGGGGGGGGGCCGTCCTCTAGAACTCTTCGTCGCATCCCAGGGGGCGAGGAAAATCTTCCTCCCCCCCTGGAATCCGACGAATAATCTTTGCCATTGGAAAGATACAAGCCCGGAGTCTTAGACCTCATCGTTCTGCTGCAATTTTCGCATTGGATCGATCTGTGACGGTCCCGAGGCCCGAAACTGAGCGAAAACGCCCAGTGCGAAGAAATTGCAACGCCCAGGAGTCCCTGCTCCTCCTCCTCCTCCTCCTCCTCTTCCTCCTCCTCCTCCTGCTCCTCCTCATCCTCCACCTCCTCCTCCTCCTCCGCCTCCTCCTCCTCCTCCTCCTCCTCCTTCTCCTCCTCCTCCTCAACATCCTCCTTCTCCTCCTCCTCCTCCTCCTCCTCCTCCTCCTCCTCATCCGTACTTCGCCTGCTTTTGCGCCTCTCCAAATACTTCTCCTCCATCTTCTCCTCCACCTCCCCTCCTCCTCCTCCCTCCTCCTCCTGCTCCTCCTCGTCCTCCTTCTCCTCCTGCTCCTCCTTCTCCTCCTCCTCCTCGTCCTCCTCCTGCTCCTCCTCCTCCTCCGTCGCTGCTGTTCCGACCTCCTCATCCTCCTCCTCGTCCTCCTCCTGCCCTCCTCCTCCTCGTCCTCGTCCTCCTCTCTGTTCCTCCTTCTCCTCCTCCTCCTCCTCCTCCTCCCCTCCTCCTCCTCCTCCTCCTCCTCCTCCTCCTCCTCCTCCTCCTCCTCCTCCTCCTCCTCTCCTCCTCCTCCTCCTCCTCCTCCTCCTCCTCCTCCTCCTCCTCCTCCTCCTCCTCCTCCTCTCCTCCTCTTCGTCCTCCTCTTCCGCCCTCTTCCTCCTCCTTCCTCCCGTCCTCCGCCTCCTTCTCCTCCTCCTGCTCCTCCTCATCCTTTTCATCCTCCTCCTCCTCCTCCTCTCCTCTCCTCCTCCTCCTGCGTATTCCTCCTCCATCCCTGCATCCCCATCCCCCATCATCCATCCTCCTCCTCCTCCTGCTCCTCCTCGCTCCTCCTCCTCCTCCTCCTCCTCCTCCTCTCGTCCTCTTCCGCCCTCTTCCTCCTCTTCCTCCTCCTCCTTCCCGTCCTCCGCCTCCTTCTCCTCCTCCTGCTCCTCCTCATCCTTTTCATCCTCCTCCTCCTCCTCCTCCTCATCTCCTCCTCCTCCTCCTGCGCATTCCTCCTCCAAGCTCCTGCATCCCCATCCCCCATCATCCATCCTCCTCATCCTCCTGCTCCTCCTCCTCTTATTATTAGTACTCGAATCGTCTTCTAATGTTGTAGTATTACTAGTAATGTAATCCGTAGTAGTCTCAGTATGCATGGTAACATCAGTCCGATCATGATTATGAGTCGTCTTATGCTGCTTGTGAGTATGATTATCATTTATATAAATAGTTGTATGGTTCGTCTTCGTGTTCTTCGAATTCATATTAGTATGAATAGTAGTATTGGTAATAGTCGTCTTATGGTTAGCATTCGTATTACTTGCATGTGAAAATGAGTATTCGTATTATTCATGTTCGTCCTCCTCCTCCTCTTCCTCCTGCTCCTCCTCCTCCTCCTCTTCCTCCTGCGCCTCCTCCTCTTCCTCCTCCTCCTCCTTGTCCTCCTCATCCTCCTCGTCCTCCTCGTCGTCGTCGTCTTGAGCCTCGAGGGCCGCTCGTGTGGCAGCAGCGGCACCCAGAGCCTGGCAGATCATCGCAATTGCCCAGTTTGGCCACGGCCTGACGCTGCAAGCGAGGCGCTCGGGCAGCTTCCGAGAGTAAGCTCCCATTCGTCTTCGACGCAGTGAACCAGCATCAGCATCATCATCATCATCATCATCATCATCATCATCATCATCATCATCATCATCAGCAGCAGCAGCAGCAGCAGCAGCAGCTGCAGCATCATCGTGATCGTGGTCACAAGCATCATCAGCATCATCAGCATCATCAGCAGCAGCATCACTATCATCATCAGCAGCATCATTATCATCGCCACCACCATCATCATCATCAGCATCATCATCATCAGCATCATCATCAGAAGCATCATCACCATCAGCATCATCATGAGCATCATCAGCATCAGCATCATCATCAGCATCATCATCGTCGTCATCATTTTCACATTCATATCCACATTCGTAATCATCGTCATCATCACCATCACCAACATCACCATTATCATGATCAGTATCAGCATCATCATCATCGACATCATCAGTCTGATCATCATCAGCAGCATACGTAATCATCATCAACATCATCATCCTCATAATCAGCAGCATCATCATCATCATGTTCATCGGCATCATCATCAGCATCAGCATCAGCATCGTCATCAACATCATCATCATCATCATCAGCTTCAGCTTCATCAACAACATCATCAGCATCAGCAGCATCTCCGTCATCGTCTGCGTCATCATCGTCAGCACGTCAGCATCAGCATTATCATGATCATCAGCATCATCATCATCATCAACATCATCATCATCATCGACATGATCATCATCACCATCAACATCATCGGCATCGTCATCATCGTCACCATCATCATCACCATCATCATCACCAGCAGCATCAGCATCATCAGCATCCTCATCAGCATCAGCATCCTCATTAGGATGATCATTGTCATCATCAGCAGCAGCACCAACAGCATCGTCACCATGATAATCAGCAGCAGCATCATCAGCAATATCATCATCAGTATCATCATCACCAGCAGCATCATCATCGTCACCATCAGCATCATCATCGTTATCATCAGCATCATCATCATTATCATCAGCATCATCATCATCATCAACATCAGCATCATCATAATGATCATCATCATCAGCAGCAGCATCATCAGCATCGTCACCATGATAATCAGCAGCAGCAATATCAGCAACAACACAATAATCATCATTAGCATCGTCGTCGACGCCATCATCATCACCATCATAATAATGAACATCATCGTCGTCATAATTATCATCACCATGCTCACCATCAGTATCGTGGTCATCGTCATCGTCGTCATCCTCCTCCTCCTCCTCATCACCATCTTCACCATAGCCATCAACATCATCAACATCATCACCATCATCATCAGCATCATCATAATCATTATTATCAACATCAACATCACCAGCAGCAGCAACATCACTATAATCATCGTCGTCACCATCACCATCATCATCATCATCATCAGCAGCAGCAGCATAATCATCATCATAATCATCAGCATCATACTTTCAATCATCATCATCAGCAGCAGCAGCAGCCTTCTCATGATCACCATCACCAGCAGCATCATCATCAGCATCAGTATCATCAGCATCCTCATCAGCATCAGTATCATCAGCAGCATCCTCATCATCAGCATCATCATCAACAATATGAGCATCAGCACCACCTCGTCTTCCTCCTTCTCCTCCTCCTCCTCCTCCCTATTCCTACTCCTCTTCTCCTCCTCCTCCTCCTCCTCCTCTTCTCCTCCTCCTCCTCCCTCCTCCTCCTCCCTCCTACTCCTCCTCCTCCTCCTCCTCCTCCTCCTCCTCCTCCTCCTCCTCCTCCTCCTCTCTCCTTTTCCTCCTCCTCCTCCCATCCCCCTCCTCCTCCTCCTCCTCCTCCTCCTCCTCCTCCTCCTGCCCATCCCATCCCCCTCCTCCTCCTCCTCCTCCTTCTCCTTCTTCTCCTCCTCCTTCTCCTCCTCCTCCTCCTCCTCCCAAGACCCCCCATGGTTGAGCGGAGAGGCGGCAGTTCGCCAGATCGGCCCCAAATCGCTGGGGGGTGTCCGAGGAGGCAAAGCCAGCGAGACCGCTACCCGCCCCTCGTCGTCACCGGCTGGATTCGCCTGGAAGCCCGGGCCGGAACGCACCCGTGGAGTAGCGGCATCGGTACCTTTTGTGTTCCCCCCAGGGGGAGGGTGGGTGTCGCGATTCGGCTGGGGAGGCCATGCGGCAGCGCGCACAACTTGGTGGCGGGAGGGGGGCGGGCTTCCCAAGAGGGCCCGGGTGCTTCTTGGAAGGGCAGGGGCCCTCAGAAGAGGGCCTGGAGGCTTCCGAGAGGGCTTCTCGGGAGCCGGCAGGGTTTCTGCGATGCCGCCTGCCTCCTCAGAAGCCCGCCCGCCCTCTTGGGAGGCAGCCGCCCTGGCGCCACCCCCTTGTGCGCGCCGCCAGGTCGGGATCGTGATTCGGCTGATGAGGCCTTGGCCAGCATGATCACGACGGAGCCCTTCTGCGAACAGGCCTCCTTGACCGTTTCCGCGTCCGCGAGTACCTTCCCGGCGTAGATCAACTTCTGCAGCTCCGGAGGCGCGAACTCTGGCCTGTCCTCCGCGATATTCTTCTTCAGCTCCTCTACTGTTGCATCGTCATGGACTTCAACGACGAAAGTATCGCCCTTCAGCGGCTTGAGCGAAACCTTCAACATGGCCGTACTGTTGCATCTGCCTGGGACTCCCTTCGACCTGGTATGGGCTGAGCCTGAGCACCCCTTGAGTCAAAAAGACTGCGAAGAGAGGAGGAAGAGGAGGAGGAGGAGAAGGAGGAGGAGAACACGAGCAGAGGTAGAGAGAGAGCGAGGGAGAGAACAAACAAAAAAACAGGACGCGCCAACGATGCTGCAATATACCCTCTCGTGCCAAGCCCCTCCCTCACAAGCCACTGCAAGTGTGTACGACCTTGAGCCTGAACAGTAACATTTCCCAGCTAGTGGGTGCGACCGCTCTCAGCACATTAGATGGCAGATGCTCATTCACGAGCACACGTGCATCATCACTGTGGCTCTTGAGCGGTCCCAGCCCAAGCGGCCTCGTCGAATCAATGCTTGCGCGCTTCAGCGCCAACAAGAGCCAGAGCTCGGCACGCAGACGTGCCGTTGAATCGTGCAGGACGAGGGCTTGCCTTCGGTCGGGCATGTCCCCCTACAGGCGGATTTTGGACGAACAATAAGAAACACAAGAAGCATATCCAACAAATAACAAACGAACATGTTTGAAACATGGTCCCCAGACTATGTTATGCCTATTTTTGAATATTCCTCCTGTAGAGGGACACGCCCGACTTCAGGCCTGCACAGCTCGTCGCTCGTCGGAGCTCCAGAAAAGATCCACCGGGGACGCCCCGTGGGACACCTCGTCGGGCTCCCAACGGGAGGACGTCTCCACCTGCACGCGCCTCATCGGTCCCGCCTCCGCCTCTTACCCAGGCATTCCATCGGGCAATCCTACCCGCTTCTGAGCCACGGGAGACCACCGCCCAACTGAAGTTCCAGGTGGGAGCCGTTGTTGTTGTAATAGTTTGGGGGACAGTGCGTCGCGCCGAGGCATACTGGACCAGAACTGGCGGCGCGACTCGCTAACCGCTAACCCAGAATTCACGATCGTACACGCGAGCTTCGTGTGGCGCCCCAGGAGCTCTACTGCGACCATCGCTCCCAGCATCGCTCCCATGATTGCCCATCTGGCGACCACGGAGGCGGAGTGGCTCCCGAAAGGCTCAGGGTGCAGCGCGGCCGGCAGCAGGGGCCCCCCCTCCTCACAACCCCCTGCAAGCCCCAAGACTCGACCTCAAAAAACGCCGTGGACACACGAAGCTCGCTGGACGCGACAGCGTCGACGGGGGAAAAGGAGCAAGAGGGGGAGGAGAGGAAGCAGGAGGAGGAGGAGGAGGGTGAAGGGGCAAGCGGGGGAGGAGAGGAAGCAGGAGGAGGAGGAGGAGGAGAAGGAGCAGGAGGAGAGAAAAGCGGGAGAAGGGGCAAGAAGGGGGCAAGAAGGGGACGAGAGGGAGGAGAAAGAGGAGGAGGAGGAGGAGGAGGAGGAGGAGGAGGAGAAGGAGGAGGAGGAGGAGGAGGAGGAGGAGGAGGAGGAGGAGGAGGAGGAGGAGGAGGAGGAGGAGAAGGAGGAGGGCGGGGGGGCAGAAGCCTGGCCGACGCAGACGCCGCTGGTTGTGCTGCCGACGCCAATTACAACGCCGACGCCGACGCCGACGACGACGACGACGACGACAACAACGACGACGACGGCGACGACGACGACGACGACGGCGACAACGACGGCGATGACGACGACGACGTCGACGACGCCGACGACGACAATCACGACGACGACGACGGCGGCGGCGCCGACGACGACTACAGCGGCGGTGACGACAATAGGCGGCGCGCCTGGGCGGGACATGAGAATGCGCGGGCCTTCTCAGAAGGCTCGAAAGTCCCCCGGCCTTCTGAGAAGTTTTCGAATGCCTTCCTCGAAGACACAGAGAACTTCTCAGAGGTCTCGCGGGCTTCTGAGAAGCCCCGCCGCCTCCTTAGAAGGCCTTCTCCTTCTCACTTCCCCCCCCGTCGCTCGCCGCCGAGACAACGGCGCTGAGATCCGACGTTGCGAAACCATGCAATACCGAAAAAACACCAAGACCTGAGCCCCATATTAGATTCCAAGACAGGCGCTTCAAGCCCAACCCAGACTGAATTCACTCATTCCTCCAAGCTGTGTAAACACACTGTCCTCTGTACCCCCTCCTATACAACTGCCTCAGAACAGAGGGGCAATGGATTTCAAGCCCCATGCCCCATCTTTCTGCGGCATGTTTCTAGCCGGACCGATCTGTGAAGGTCACGGGGCCCGAAGCCAGGCGAGAACGCCCAGCGTGAACAAAACTGCAACGCCCGCATCTCGGGGAACGATGGCGCCGACGGCGGCGGCGGCGGCGGCGCCCACGCCGACGACGGGATGAGCGGCGACAATGGCGCCGCCGCCCTTGGCGGCGCCGACGACGCCGACCCAGAACTCCGACGCCGTGGCTTCTTCAAAACGTGGCCCACCGTAGGTCTGGACCCCTTCCCGAGGACTGGTTGAGCCCCACGAGTCGTTCTTGACGGCCCTGGGGCTGGGGGCCCCCAGAGGCCGACAAATGCAAAACAAAAACCTCGTCGTGACACTTTCGCCGTGCGAAGAGGTGAGGGGGACGCCGACGACGGCGCAACAGCGGAGGCGGCGGTCACGCAGGGGGGCAGCAGAAGGGGGATAGGGGGGCAGAAATCCGCCGAGGCACACGGCGGCGGCGGCGCTGCCGACGCCGGCGACGACGGCGGCGGCGATGACGACGCCGACGCCGACGACGGCGCCGACGACGGCGCCGACGCCGACGGCGGCGGCGGCCACGGCGAGCGCGAGCGGCCGCCCGCGGCGTGCGCAGGCGCGGCCTGCGCAATGGCCCGCTGGTGCGCGGCTATGGCGCCTTGCATGGGCGGCAGAAGATCGTGGGAGAGACCATCTCGCCCCTCACTTCGAACGTCGTCGTCAAATGCGGTCGGACCCAAGACACAAAAACATCCCTCAAGAACATGGGGCCCTCCGCCGGCCCAAACGGAAGAACACTCGAGGGTACCCCCCACCCTCCCCCCGGACACAGTAGCAACTCGACCACAAGAAACCTTCCACAAGAAGCCCAACCCTGAGACCCCAGGACGGAATTTTGGCTTCTGGTGTGGGAACGCCACGCTTTCCATAGCAGAACCATCGAAGCCCAAGAAACCCAGGGCACCCTGGAGGCAAGCAAGCGGATGTTTCTTGGCACGGGCTTCCACTGATCACACTAAAGCAGCCAACAAGCACGAAGAACATCAGTAGAGAAAGACAACAGCACATAATCATAAACTTTCGACGGTCCGCGCGGACTTCTTGGATTCGCGCTGGGCCCCCAGGGGCGGCGCCGGAGGCGCCGCCAGGGGGCCCCAGCTCGGATCCGAGAAATCCGCGCGTATCGCCGAAAATTTATGTTTATATGCTCTTTTCTTCTTCGAATTCGGCTACCCTCCCCGAGCCGACCTCGACCGTATACCTCGGCCCGCCCGTACCGCGTGTAGCGCCAACCATCGCTCGGGCGTTCACTAATGGGGGGCGATAGATGGGGCGGTAAGAAAGGTGCACCTCTCGTGCACTTTTCGTACCCCTTCGGGGCCCCAGGGGGCTCGTTCAGGACCTCTTTAGGGCCCCTTTCGTGCAACTCTCGACGCCCCCCCACTTATCGCCCCCCCATTACCGAACGCCCGATTCGCACATCGACGAGCCGCGCCGGCCGCCTCGGCCACGGACTGAGTGCGGCGCGGCCGCACCCGGCGGCGGCGGTGGCTGGGCGGGGCCCCGCAAGGCGGGGCGGAACACCTCGCGCCCTCCATTCGGCGGTGGACGAACCTCCCTGTAGTACACCACCCTTTCCAATGAGAACTGCTTGGGACCGAAACCGACAGGCCTGGACCCGCAAAAAAGTGACGGCCGGGACGCCCTCTCGCGCACCGAAGACGGCCAATTCGCTCCTCGACGTGTCAGGGTAGGAGGTCTATCAACCTCCGAGCGTTTCGCAAGAGGGCTCTGACAGGTGGAAAATAATAGACGCATGAAAAGCGCTCCCCGCCCACCACATGAGGAACTTCAGGCCAAGTCGACGGCAACGGCCTCGCTTACGGGGCGCCTACACTTACGCGAATTCGCCATGGTAGGAGGTCTATCAACCTCCGCTTCACTTCGGGCACTATTTCCAGACCCCTCACTTCGGGCATCCGGGCGTTGCAATTGTTTATTCACGCTGGGCGTTCTCGCTTGGCTTCGGACCCCGTGGCCATCAGAGATCGGTCCGGCTAGAAACATGCCGCAGAAACATTGGGCTCGGAGCTCCGGTCGTGATTTTTTGCGACAGCGTATTTTTTCGCAACGTCGGATCTCAGCGCCGTTGTCTCGGCGGCGAGCGAGGGGAGGAAGTGAGAAGGATAAGGCCTTCTCAAGAAGCGGCGGGACTTCTCAGAAGCCCGCGCGCCTTCCGAGAAGTTTGCGGCGTCCTCGGCAAAGGCTCAGACAACATCCTTGAAAGCCAGAGGACTTCCGAGCCTTCCGAGAAGGCCTCCTCATTCCCACTTCCCCCCCCTCGCGCGCCGCCGAGACGCACGATCGGAGCTCTCGGCCCCACCTTTCTGCGGGACTTTTCGGGTCGGATCGGTCAGCGAATGCCTCTGGGAGACCGAGAGAGCGCACAGACACGTGCAGTGATTTGCTTCTCGACCCCTGGTGCCGAGGGTTCTCTTCCCTCCAGTCGGTTGATTTCCGAGCCAGGTTCTAGGGTCCCCAGAGGGCTCTGGGCGAGGCGCAGCTGCTACAAGACGCCCACGACCCCACAACCCAAGCTTTCAGGAAACCGAAAGAAAAAGACGCGATGCTCGTCCTCTCATTCCTCCACTTCCTCCAGAGCAGGAGGTGTTGATCTTTGTGCACTCTTCCTCCTATTCCTCTTCTTTCCTACAAGACAACCGCGAGCCTCCAAACCCTCCCTTTCCTCAAAGGAGAGGAGAAGGAGGAGGGGGACCCTTCGCCGGAGTGATCTCTGGTGCGCGGCTCTTGCGGGGGCGGGCACCAAAACCAACCACGCAAGCCGCGCGCCAAAGGCAACCCTTGCCAACAAAGTGCGATGAGAAAGACTAGCAACTGCACGAACGCAAATTTTCGGAGGTCACCAGCGCGTCG